TTTTGTCTCGCCCTAACGGAGTCAAAAAGCGTGACATAGGTATGCTGTTTCCGGCGTCGGCGACGACGGCGGCGTCAACAATGTATTAGTTTGTGATTAATAGGTCTAGTTCATGGTGAACCACTAGTGGTAGGTCAATGATATTTGGTATGCAGTTGTATTAGCATTGGCACATCTCATTATCATGGAGATTATTTGGCCCCGCCCCCTCAGTCAAGGTCTATTGACTTTGAAACTTTGTTTGTTTACATGTATTAGTTTGTGATTAGGTAAGTTTATGGGGAACCACTAGTGGTAGGTCAATGATATTTGGTATGCAGTTGTATTATCATTGGTACATCTCATTACCATGGAGATTATTTAGCCCTGCCCCCTCAGTCAAGGTCTATTGACTTTGAAACTTTGCTTGGTTTACATGTTTTAGTTTGTGATTAGGTCAGTTTATGGGGAACAACTAGTGGTAGGTCAATGATATTTGGTATGCAGTTGTATAATCATTGGCATATCTCATTTCCATGGAGATTATTTGGCCCCGCGCCTCATTCGTGGTCTATTGACTTTGAAACTTTTGCTTAGTTTTCATGTATTAGTTTGTGATTAGGTCAGTTTAAGGGTAACTGTTAGTGGTAGGTCAATGATAATTGGTATGCAGTTGTATAAGCATTAGTACATCTCATTTCCATGGAGAATATTTGGTCCTTACCCCTCAGTCATGGTCTATTGACTTTGAAACTTTTGCTTAGTTTACATGTATTGGTTTGTGATTAGGTCAGTTCAAGATGAACCACTAATGTTAAGTCAATGATATTCGGTATGCAAATGTATTGGCATTTGCAAGTTTCATTTCCATGGAGATTATATAACCCCACCCCCTAATTATGGTTCATTGACTTTGAAACTTTTACATAGTTTACAAGTTAATGTTTGTGTTTAGGTTTGTTTAAAGGGAACGACTTATGAAAAGTCAATGGTATTTGGTTTGCAGTTGTGTTAGCATTGGCACATGTCATTTCCATGGAGATTGTTTAGCCCTGTACCTTCAGTCATGGTTCATTGACTTTGAATATTTGCATGACTTACATGTTAAAGTATTGCTATTTTAATTTCAACATTTGCATTATCAAAATAACAAATAGGCGAGACATATCTCTGTGTTAACAGTTTATTCAATTAGCTCACACAATAGGTGAACTATATTTGTAGTATAAAAAAGTTGTAAGGTGTATATGTCTGTCTGACACAATTTATCTGACTCAGACCTCATTGTCATAGATTTTCTATAATGTTAAGTTTCTGTAATGCTTTTAGTAAACATTATAAGACTTTCAACATAACATCAATGGCGAGAAATTTCAGGGTGTGCACTCTTGTTTGAAAAAGGAGGGGGGCACGAGGATTTTTTTTTATTGATCTTTTATTCCCTTATTTTTTCTACCTTTTTGTACATTTTTGTTTCCGGCATTTTTAATCTGTCTTGTGCAAAGTTATTTATTTTCAGTTCTTACTCGGCCAAGTTAATTATCCTTCATAATGCTCCTGCTGTCTTCAAGAAAATCAAATAGCAATTTCGTAAGTTTCAAAACAGAGAAGGTGTGATTGAAAACAAGATAACCACGTGCAGCTGTAACTGTTAATGCAATTGCAAGTCTAACTTGTATTGAATTATATCATTTTATTTGACACAATATCAGTCTTATTCGTGAAAACGTACTACAAAAAGAGATGTCGGGCGAATATATCCCGCTCACCCTACCCCTCACTCAACCCACTCCTTTTAATTTAGACCAAACAAAAAGACTTGAAAATAAAAAAGTTGTACTTTTCTATCTTGAAAATAAAAAGATGTATTTTATTCTTTTATATTGACTATTTATATATGTTTACCACACATGTATAGTCTGTCGTAATAGTAGGTTGGATGTTAAACGTCCTACAAAAGAACTAAATATTCTAAGTTGGCGATCCATTTCGGATTTTTTTTGTATTGAATTATAATTTAGGCACTGACCGTTCTTTTTTTAGGGGGCATGGGTTTTTTTTCTCGTGACAAACATTTTTTTCCCGACTTCAACAAAAAACAAGTTAGTTCTCTATAACATACAGTAACTAGAATTTATATTTAAAGGAAATAAACCCACAAAAGATGAATGGTCGGTGTTTTATTGAACTTTTGAAAATTCGCCCTTACAACAAATAAGACAACAGTTGTCAGTAATTTAAAGACATATGAAATTAATGATGATTACTACATGTAGTAGTAAAGTAACCATTTTTTTTTCAAACACAACATCCAATAAGGGTACGCATTGATGAGATTTGAATAAAATTAACTGCAAATATTTTACGATCTTTTTTGCTATGTAATTTATTTTACATATTTCTAATCTTGTTACGCGTCGATCTTTTCACCGTATCACACTTGCTATTATCTATATAGTTATTCATATTTTGGAATTCGCCGTACAACGCCCTTCAATTCGCCGTACAGTAAAACATTACTGTTCGTCCATATCCTTTAGAAAATATCGTTTTGATAGCGAATTTCAGTAAATAAGAAGTCACACTGTCATAATCTAAAAATTTGTCTGGAAAAAAGAATGAAAAACAGTTGAATATCTGGCCAGCGGGACGTCGGAGGGCAATTGACCTCGAAATTTTCTGGTACCAAGTGAACAGTTTTCAAAATCTTGTCTTTGTTTGCTACTTGTTGGCATAACAAATTAAAGCACTATCTATCAGAAAATCGTTTCATAAGCGGAAACTTCATCAACATGGTAGAAATGGTTTAAATTGAAGGATTTCTTACCTTGTTTATTTTTTTCCTCCTTTCTCTCCACTTCGTAGGTACCCAATTTCTGGTGGCGATGATACACAGTGATATTGATTAAACCAGAACGTGCATGAATGTGTACAGTTACTTAAATGACCTTCAAACTGGATACTGGACGAGTCCATATTATTTTTTATCAATGAAACTGTAAGAATTGTCTCTTCTTATATTTTCACAAAATATTCCACATATAGAGTAGATAAATCATTTTTTAATAGCCTATTTTGGAGAGAGAAAAAAAGAAAGTTTACAAATCAGACGTTTTATTCCATTAAACAAGTTATTTTTCGAAAAGAAATGCGGAAATACATTTTACGCACGGCTACGCCAGGTAAAATTATTGTTTATCTTAACAAAAAAATAATTTTTCAGTCTCATTATAATATTATAATTACAATTATTCCCAAATAAAAGTAGACAGTAAATAGAGTCAAAATATGTCCGATCTGCCTATTTTTGGACACCAAAATCCAATACGATCGTTTTAAGGTCAATTTCGTCTACCTCACAAAATCTTGTTAGGCACTATAGTTGAGTTTCGCATCTATGATGTTTCCTGAAAGCATGTTGCCTATTGTTGAGAATGTTGTTCTTTTCGAAATGCTGCATCAAATGGCAGCAAGTAATATGTTCTAAGGTTTGCATAAAATACATGTGAGTGAGATCGGTCTGTAATACTTGGGATTGATCTATCGTTTTTCTTAAATAGTGGGCAGATGTTGGCGCTTTTCCACTCAGTTGGTATGGTTCCCTAGATTATTGAAACAAGAGAACCATTACATCCGAGAGTTCAGTTGCCAGTTATTTCAGCACTCTTGGTGGATATTATCTGGCCCATTACCTTAGCAATGTTTAATCATTTCAGTATTTTTTCGATTCCCTTTTTGGTGATTGATTTTTCTCATTTTATCTATTAGAAATGGGTGGTGTTAAAATAATTGTAAATTGTTTCTAAGTCTGTTTCTGAAACTTTGTTTCCTTTAGAAAGTAATAGTGGAATTCTTTGTTTGTCAACTTTTTTGGTTGTTTACGGACTTCCAAAAGGGTTTCGAGTCCTTATTTTATATCCCCTATATATAATGTTGTTAAAATAAGTGTTGTGTGCCATATCTATTTCCTTGTTTACCAATCGCCTAGTTTCCTGCAATTTGTTTTAGTCTAATGCTGCTAGTCTTCTTGTAGTTAGCATGTATCTTGTTACGTCTTCTTATCAGGTCTTAATGTTGTTATTAATCCATGGAAGTGAATTGTTTACCTTTTGATGTTTTCTTTGGTAAGTTCCTTCCAGTTGTTTCATAGATTGAAGGTTTTAATGATTTTCCTCTGCAAATCTGTTGTATTGATGACCATTGAAATATTTGTCACAAGTGAAATTTTAATGACCTCCCTTGTTTGATTGTAGTCTCTCTTAGTCTTTGAGTATTGATAGTTTGTTCTTTCAGGTCTAGATTTTTTCGGCGATGTACATTTGAGTGTGCCCATAATTATGTATTGATCGTTAAGTATATCCGGTGTGTGAATGTTTGTGAACTGACCAAGAAGTGTCGAGATCTAGTATGTTGTTTTCTCTGATTGAAAATAGCACTAGTTTTTCGGCGCTTGCTTCATTGATTATGTCAATAAGCATTTGTCAATCGCTATCGCAGAGACAAGAATTAGTGTCTTTGTTGACGATAGGTTGCCTGTTTACTTTGCGATAGTTGAAATCACCTAATACATGTATGAATGGCTGTTGGGTTTTTCCTAGCTATTTGATTTTTTCCAGTTGGTAATTAAGTAAGTAAAGACTATCAGCTGGAGTGTCAGGTGGTTTGTACCAGCTTTCTATGTAGTGATGTTTTCCTTGTAGATGTAGATTCTGATACGTTTTCTACTTTCTTAAAGGCTGATCCAAGGCAAGTTTTTACTAGCGACATTGTGCCTCCTCCATTTCAAATTCTGTCATTTCGATAGATATCATATTCTAAGCATTCTGGTATAATCGTGTTTGACATCGTGATGGAGTCAGTTTCAATTTCTTGTAGAGCGACTTTATTAGGATTGTCAGTTGTTAAATAAGTCTGTAACTCTTATTTTTTTCCTTTTATACCCTTGATGTCTATTGAAACCATCTTGATGTTAGTGAAGTTTCTATACTTGTGGTTCTTACAACTGCTTTTTTCATGTGTAGGTTGTTTGTCTTCAGCAAGTATTTGGTACGAGTTGCTGTTTTCAATTCCAGATGAGGTGCTTGGAAATGTTGATAGGTGGCTTGTGTTACAGGTAGGACAAATCCAATTACAGTTGGTGGCTTGTATTACTTTATATTCCAACGAAAAAAAAAATCGTAATAGATACCTCAAGCGCATGATCAAAAAGTAAATATGCCTTGCACAAAGCATATAACTGACAGAAAAAGAAAAACAAAGCATATAACTGACAGAAAAGAAAAACAAATCATATAACTGACAGAAAAAGAAAAACAAAGCATATAACTGACAGAAAAAGAAAATCTATTTAAATGAAAATGTCATTTTATAAATTTCGTGCGTCCGAAGCGCTGAGAAACGCCAAAACCCAAACATTTGAAAGCCAGGGATTTTTAAATACGTAGAAACGTTAGAAGCTAGATGTTTAACATGTAGAAAGTAACGGTTTTACAATATATCAAAATTACGAATTCTGTTGCAGTTTAGACATACCTTCGCGGTCAATTGTGGAAAATATTATTTTGATATTAATAAAACTTCATATTAATAAAATATCAGAGTTCGCGTTTAGATCCCAGTAAAGCACAAGGAACATTTTTGCACTCGCGTCGACTCTTTCTGATAACAATGGCAAAAATGAACATTTGTGACATAAGCTAAAATGATTAGAAGGGGAATTGATTGATTATTGATTGATTGTATAATGGTTATTCAGGATGAAAAAAGACAAGAAACAATACTAGTATTTCTAAAATGTAAGGTGTCAGTAGTATTAGATGGGGTTGTAAAATCCACAAATTCATAAAGAGAAGCCAAAGAAAAGATTTGACAAAAAACCACAAACTGGAACCACCAAGAACAATGCTACAAACATCCACAAACAGGAACCACTTTGAATGATATAAAAAAACAATACACAAACAGGAACCGCTTGGCATTATGTAACAAAAGAAGAGAACACGAACCACATCATTAACAAAGATTCATTAGCATTTTATATTTTGTTTGTTTTTCAAAAACATATAAACAAGATAGTTATTACAACAATAAATTATTCTATATTGAAAATATATTTAACTACAAATATAAAATAAGGAGAAGAAATATGATCGGTAATGAAACAACCATCCATCAGGAACCGTATGAAATAGATGTCAGCAATTATAGGTCGATGTACGGCCTTTAACAATTAATAAAGCCCATACCACATAGCAAGCTATAAAACAAAATAACAAAATGTAAAATAATTCAAATGAGAAAATTAACGGCCTGATTTATGTACAAAATAACAAACGAAAAACAAATATGATATACTGCTACAAACAACAACCACTGAATAACAGGCTCCTGACTCGGGACAGGCACATACAGAATGTGGCGGTGATAAACAAGTTTGTGGTTGCCCTCTCCTAACCTGGGACAGTAGTGTAAACGTACACTATAAGAGCAAACTATAAAAAAAATCAGTTGAAAAGTACGAGACTCGTCAGATTGATACAAAGCAAAACAAACAAATAACAAGAACATTAAAGACACAAATTACCGATTTGAGAGTACTTGCATTTACTGAAAACTAGTTCCAAAATACAATTTAAAAAATTATATCTACAATAAAAGTTACTTATGAACATAAGCTCTGGTTATATATTTGCACATCCCATGGCTTTTTAATAATCAAATGCAAAAGGAGCCTCGGTGTCAGAGTGGTTTAAGTAGTTCTACTACTGTATCACTAGTCTGTCAACACTGAGGTTGTGAGTTTGAGCCCCGCACGTAGCAGGTACGTTCGACTCAAATCTTAAATGACCAGGATTACCAGTTTTCCTGCCGAAGTTCGATGGTTACCTCCGAGCACTCCGGCTGCCTCCCCGAATAAAAACTTGCCACCACGAAATAGCCAATAGTGCTGAAAGTGGCCGTAAAACACTAACAAAATCAGGCAATCAATCAATCAAAATTAATGCTAAATATCCATGAAATGCTTATAAATGGGTTTTGTTAATGATGTGGTTCATGTTCCCTTCCGTGATATTTAATGGGGACCGGATTCGTGTATTCTTTTGTTGAATTTGTGAATTTGTAAGTGTTTGTGTGTGTGTATTTTTGTGTATGTTTGTGGTTTTTTGTTACATCATTCCAGGTGGTTCCTGTTTGCGGAATTTTGTAACATCATTCCTGGTGGTTCCAGTTTGTGGACTTTTATTACATCATTTATGGTTCCTGTTTGCGGATGTTTGTTACATCATACCAAGAGATTTGTGTTTGAGAATCGTGTTGGGTTTGTTGATTTCGAAACCCCATTTTACGCTACTGATATTATATAACCTACTGAAATCAAATAAATATTGTATAAATATAACAGAAAAACAAGTACAAACAACATCTGATGATATAGTTTCCTTTGGGTTAATAGAAAAATTTGCGACGTGGTTAAACAATATAATGGTTACATTTATTAATAATCTAGTCAACTAGGGAAAGATTTACGAGAGATGATTAACCTGCACAGATTCCTGACCTAAATCGGTTTCGCGTTAGGTCGCTTAACAGGTCATTGACGAACCGTCGCATAGAAGTCAACTTGTGCAAGGAGAACCCATCAACAGTTAATAAGCTACATGCTTTGTGTACTAACACGAGCAACACGACGGGTGCCACATGTGGAGCAGAATCTGCTTACCCGGAGCACCTGAGATCACCCCCAGTCTTTGCTGGGGTTCGTGTTGCTCAGTCTTTAGTTTTCTATGTTGTGTTTTGTGTACTGTTGTTTGTCTTTTTCTTTTTTAGCCATGACGTTGACAGTTTATTTTTGACTTATAAGTTTGAATGTTTCTTTGGTATCTTTCGCCTCTTTTTTTAACATTTATTGATATTTTGGTGCAAAATGATGAACAAAATCATTAGGTCACATTGAAAAGAATATTCGTAATGTGTCTTCAGTTTACGTACGTACGTAAATACGATATTATGCAAATATTGCTTAACACAACCTAAACCTTCAAAAATCATTCATTTTTATTTTTCTAAATCGGTAAACATTCTTTTTCTTTATGTTATAGTCTGTATTGTATTTGAGCAAGTAAGTCATGATCAAAACTGAAATGTAAACTATACAATAAGTTGCATTTAAGACAAAGTATAGTGTATTAAAATGTATTGTAAAATATCAACTCAAATATGAAGCTTTTTCATGGAGGTTATCGAATGAGCGTACAAAAAGGAAATGCCTGATAATCAGTTAAGTCCGGTTGTATATACATTTTATTTTCTATTAAGAAGAGTTATCGTTTTCATTTTTATTAGTAACTTAAACCAATTATCTGTATCATCCTATTTTATTTGATTCAATATTGCTTTATATCAAATCTATATCTTTTTCTAAATCTTTGATACACATTATATATGGGTCAACTTTATTATCCAATAGGTCATTTTCATTCGTATTTCAGAAGTTAATGTTTGAATTGATCTGGCTAAGTTATTCTGTATTGCAAATGTCGGTGCCAGTGGCGAAGTAAATATTCCTTAAAATAGTAAGATGTAAGTCATTGAACTGAAGAATATGGATATAATAGGGTGTACAAAATTAAAAAAAGAAAACCATACCGTAATTATACCCTAACTCTTGAAATAGGGACTACATTGCAATATCCTTGTCCGTCCGTTCCCCCATCTGCCCGCTCGTCAAACAAATATTTTTGTTACTTTTTCGTCAGGAACCACTAAACAGAACGATTTCAAATTTAGTCAGCAGCTTGATAGTGATGAGTTGTATTGTGTAAGCACTTATCGGGCCTTTCAGTACTTCCCATTTGCTGATACTTTAAACAGCTCAATATGTTAAATGAACTTCAAAATGTTCGTCACACATTTTTCCAGTACTACGGAACAAAATGACTTCATATTTGGTCATCAACTTGCCAATGATGAATTGTAACATTTAAGATCTTTTTGGATCTGTTGGACACCTACTTTCTGTTTGCCGATTCTTTGATTTTTTCAACATGCAAACAAATATTTTTGTTACACTTTTCTAAAAAACTATTCAACAGAATAATTTCATAATTATTGCTGTGGCTGTGGCTTGAGTTATAAATGAATGACGCATTTAAGTTACAAAAATGTACTTTGTATTACGAGTGGGGGAATGCTTAGCACGACAACCCATGCATTCTAGTTAAAATTATAGTAAGAATATAGTAAGAATAGCTTTTGTCTTTCTCATCTTCATTATAGAATAATGATATATCAGTACAATTTCTATAATACATTAAAATTACCGTTTTTATCAAATTATACCGCTGGTCGAATTGTCTATCTCATGGTATGCTATTGTAATTCTGCTGGTAAATGAAAATTAGAAAAACTAGCAATCCGACTGGTATTAGGAAAGATAAATTAATCAATTTTAATATTATTAAAACTAAGATTTGAATTCCCTCGGGCAAAGATGACCATAGGTTGAATTAGCTATTTGTTTTATGTTCTGATGAATGTGAATTGTAAAAGAGGTTCGTTTTAAGTGTAAATTTAATTTCATTAGCCCCAAACTGATCATGCCAAAAAACCAAAGACTTTCAATTACATGAAACGTCTTTTGAAATCTGATGACAATCATATAGCAGGAAGACGAAATGCAATACCTTTTCTCAAAGACAAAACTGATATGTTTATTAAAACAACATGATATGTTTTGGTAGCTAGGCATCTCTTATAAGATATATACATTTTTTTGGCGAAAATGAACCTTTAACTACAATTTTTCATATAGGTCCAAACGCAATTCATCTAACGGGAGCCGCTATATGTCGCGAGGTAATCTCAATTTGCGACAGTAAAAACTACCTACGGCCGTCTGCAAAGCTTCAAATACAATACAGTTTTCCCCTTAAAATACTGTTGAATATTATTTGTTTTTTTTCTTTTTTATCGTGATGTTGTATATGTCCTCCATCAACTGATGTATTTTCTACTGCTACCATTGTATCTTCTAATAAATCACAGCCATAATTTTGTGCAATGATACCACCAAAATTGTTAGATTTTAAGATTTTGAATTCAAAATATGTGATAACATTAACGGTACTAATTTTACTGCACCATATGCACACTTCGACAATAAATGTCTCTTCAGTGATGATCGAGGCCAAAATATTTAAAACCCCAAACCTTATTAAAAAACATGAGCTGAATAACCAAAATGGCCAAAGCCTAGCAAGGAATCAGAGCTTTGCATCAGGGAGGGAGACATATTCCTTAATTTCGAATAACTAGAACACACCCGAGAAATCGCGGGCATTTAGAGTGTGGTTGAAAGTATGTAAACTGTTGAAAGATGAGTTTTTGTAAAAAGATTTTATGACTGGAGAATTTCAGGAGAGGTATCAAAAGTTATAGGTACTTGGTGAAAGGACAATTTTATTTAGCCCTCCCCCTTTTTTCCAAAGCCCGTTATTTTTTGTTTTCTGTTTTTCTGTATACTATGAACATACATATACTATAAATAAAGTGTATTTGCTATTAACTATCAATTCCAAGTTGTAATACTATCTTAGGCGATATAGTCATTATAGAGACTCTCTTTATAATATATATCAGTGACAGCCGCGGATAGTAAACTTTGAATTGATAGTAAATAGCAAATACACTATATTTATAGTATATGTATGATCATGGTATGCAGAAAAACGCGAAAATAATTGTCCTGTCCCCAAGTACTGATGAAAATTATGTGTAATTTTAAAAACAGTCCTAAACGGAAGTCTTGTCCATGACTTAAAAGTCCGTCCGATGACGGAAACAATATTCGGACCCCTTTTTTTTGTTTTTCTCCCAAAATGACCCAAACTGAATAATCATAAGCGAGCATGACAAATGCGACTATGCATGGTACATATAGGACACAGATGCATGATGATTAATTTATTGTGCAAAGAAGAGAAGCGACACACAAAATGAGGTCTTCTCATTTAATAGTATAGATTACACGAGTCGTGTAACAGCAAATTTCAATAACACAATATCCGTATTTTCATGTAAGTCACCACGTCTAAACAAGTCTAAACAAGTCTAAAAAGCGATAGACAATTCTGAAATCACTGCATAAATAGATTATTTTATGACTAAGTATTAATTTTCTTTGCCAGCGAAAACTTTTCTTTTATGTTCATATTTTCTGAGCATATTGAATATAATTATGAGAAATGATATATTAAGAAGGTACCAAGTTTCATAAGACAGATAACATAACGACAAAAAAGACGCGATATGTAGATCGTATTTTAATTATGACCTTGACATGTTTAATATTATTTTCTGTTTTCAGATTTAAAAAATGGCCGTGGATATTTTGCACACTGCTTGTGTTGCTGGTGTTGAGAAGATGGTCAACCGGAGAAAAGATTTACCTTATTCAGTTTACATACCCATTAAACAATTTAATTGATGTTGTTGACGAAATCGAGACAACTGGTCGGACAGCAGAAAATCCATTGAACAATGTTACTAAGCATTATGTCATAAAGAAAGACCCGTCCACAAAGTTTTGTAGAAGTGAAGCGTGTGATAGTTTTGATATGGTTTTTATTGTCAAGTCATTCGTGGGCAATTTTGGCCAGAGGGTTGCCATTCGGAACACTTGGGGATCCCAGAAAAATTTACGTGTCAAAACGTTGTTCGTTTTAGGATATCTAGAAAGTTTTCAACCGTTCGTTGATTTTGAATATGAACAATATGGCGATATTCTCCAGCTTGGATTCAAGGACACATACGATAGTTTAGTATATAAAACGATTATTCCAATCGATTGGTTAGTAAAACGTAAAATAAATACCAAATATGTGCATTTTCTAGATGATGATCGTCTAGTTAATACCAGGCGTTTGCTTCAGTTTGCCAATGATAATATTGGAACTACAGAAAAAACGATAATTGGCTACAAAGTTATGATTTCACGACCGTATAGGGAAAAATCATCTAAATGGTTTACGAGCTTAGAAGAATATCCTTTCGATTATTGGCCGCAATATATAATTGGAGGAACACTACTGACGAATATGAAAGTAGTCAAAAGTCTTGCATATTCCATTCCTTTCACCAGAATTATCCGAATGGAAGATGTTTTCATAGGAATCCTTTCTAAGCTACTTAAGATAAACGTTGTACACAATTGTGGCTTTATGCCATATTATACTCCGGGTTCTGAATTGAAAGATAAATTATCAAGTCCAGACTATAAATCTTATCATTCAATAATCGACGGATGGAAACAACTACAAAACTAAAGTGCGGGAAAAAAGACGCAGACGGTCGTCCCAGTAGTGTATCAAATGGTTCTTGTCATCAATTCGCCGTTTCATATACAAAGGACTATGGGTAATTTCATTGTTCGAACTCCAAAATGAAAATGACGTTACCTCATTGGTTTAATTTCCATACGTTACTAGCCAATCATAATTTTTTTATGAACTCTTTTGAAAATATTACCCAGAATTCAATAGATTCTTAAACGGCTAATTGGTAGTTTCGTATTGAAAATAGTCCATGTTTGTCCATGTTTTTAAGTTTTGTATCAAAAACTTCCGAAAAGGCTGTTATTTGCTATTAGTAAGACAATCAGCAAAAAGTATATATAAGCACTTTGAATAATCGAATGTTTGTAATACTTAGCGAAACAAAACTAATTATATAAAGAGTTGTCGGAAGCCATGATATTTTTATTTGAAATCAAATTACTCCAAAGTTGAGTTATGACATATTGTTTGGCCCAGTTCCTATTTGAATGATAATGCATCATCATGCCAATAAGGACAAAAATATTAATGTCCGGCCTCCTGATAGAAAACAAAAGGGTAGTTTAGGTAAAATGATTTTTTAATAATTTACATAGACTATAGGAAAATGCTTGCCATTGATAATATTGGAACTACCGAAAAAAAACTATCATTAGCTACACATTTATAATTGCACGACCGTATGGAGAAACATCTTCTAAATGGTTTATAAGCTTAGAAGAGTATCCTTATGTCATATTATACTTCCGGTTCTGATTTGAAAGATAAATTATCTAGTCCAGACTATAAATCTTATAATTCAATAATCGACGGCTGGAAACAGCTACAAAACTAAAGTGTGGCGGGGGGACGCAGACGATAATCTCAGTAGTGTATCAAATAGTTCTTGTCATCAATTCGCCGTTTCATAATACAAAGGATTATGGGTAATTTCATTTTTCGAACTCCAAATTGAAAATGACGTACCGTCATTGGTTAAATTCCATTGTTTAGGACGTAATCCAATCACAACTTTTTGATATACACTTAAGAAAATATTACCCATAATTAATCAGATTCTGAAACGGCCAATTGGTTAATATACGATTTATAAATGCTAATTGCATGTACATCAAGTTTCATATTGAAAATAGTCCATGTTTGTTAGGTTTTTATCAAATATTTCAGAAGAGGCCGTTATTGGATATAAATTAGACAATCAGCAAACAGTAAATATAAACACTTTGAATAATCGAATGTTTGTAATACATCGCGAAACAAATATTTTGATATACGCTTTTAAATATATTACTTATAACTCACAAGATTGTGAAGCGGATAATTGGTTAATACGTAGAGTTTTAAATACTAATTGCATGTAGGTCAAGTTTCATATTGAAAATAGTCCATGTTTGTAAGGTTTGTATCGAAATCTTCCGAAAAGGCTGTTACTTGCTATAAGTAAAACAATCACCAAAAGTATATATAAGCACTTTGAATAATCGAATGTTTGTAATACTGAGCGATACAAAACTAACTATCAAAAGAGAAGTCGGAAGCCATGATGTGTTATCTGAAATCAAAATTCTAAAAAATTGGGTTATGAAATATTGTTTGGCCCAGTTCCAATTTGGATGGTATTGCATCAACAAGAAAACACATATATACTAGTGTCCGGCTTCCTTACAGAAAAGGGTTGTTTATGTAAATGATTATTTTCAATAATTTACATAGACTACATATATTTAGGAAAATGTTCTAGACTTTAAAGGTACATAACCAAATTTGTCTGGACATAACGATGCTAAACCAAAAATTCCATAAAATGTCTTATGTAGAGTGGTCATGAAAACTTACGATTAGTAGGGAGATAGGAACCATAACTATATTTGTGTTAGCCTTATTGAAGATAATTTCTCTAAATGATGACTTGGAACAAATATAAAGGAGTATACTGCATGTTTATTAAAAATAAAACAATGTAACTATGTTCATGTATGTTATTTTATACTTATATTTTTTGTATCTTTTTTATTTTTGTTTTATTTATCTAAGTTTTATTTTTCGAATTGATTTGTGTTTAAGACAGTCAAGAAAAGTGAAATCCAAATATGTTTAAGGTATTAGATACATCATTATCTGACATTTGACATGTTTTGTTTTTATGTCATATGCTATTGAAGAAAAATAAAAACGTTTTACAATTTTACTTGTTCTTGCTTTTGTAACTCGCTAAAATATTCTGAACACATTAGCACAGAAAGGTCAATTGTGAAGTCGCTATGCAGTTTTTGCAGTTATGAACAAACTACAAAGAGTTTGAACCCCGATTGTAAATATGCAAGACAACATATAAAAATATGAATACTAATGTTCTGTGAACATTCGAAGCCTGTTTGTTAATTGACTGAGCGCTCACAAACATGTTTAATACCGCCATAGTCTTTATGTGCATGTCCAAAGTCGTTGACCGGTCATGCAGTGGTTATAGTTTACTGCTGTTTTGTCATATTGTTTTTTTTCGAATATTGTTGTTGTATAAAGTCAGGCCGTTGGTGTTCTCTTTTAAATTCACATTTTGTCATCGCGGAGCCTTTAATAGCTTGTTGTACGGTATGAGTTTTGCTCATTGTTAGAGGGAACTGTTTCTGTAAAAATAAGAAGATGTGGTATAATTGCCAATGAGACAACTTTCCACCAGTGGTCATCGTCTGGAAGATGCATGAAATATTGCAACTGGACATTAACAACAGACAACCAACAAGCAATCAAATTACGTGGATTTAAGGTTCATCAAAAGGAATTGAAAAATATGCGTGTTTACACCACAAAATCTACAAAGAGTACAGACAAACTGATGCATCTAGGAAAGTTTTAAGGCAAGGCAGGACCTAGATATATAAAAGTTATATGTAGTTTATGCTTCAGAAAATTAAAAAAATACCTGGATTTTGATGTGCATTTTTTTCCAGTCTGCAGGAGATAGCAAATTAAACTAACATACTAGTTTCATTTGATACGGTCCACTCAGTTACACAGTTTAAATCACCTATTGCTTGCAGATGTCTATTGTTCATCTATTGTGAATTTAAGGGGAGCTTCATTTAAAACCTCTTTCCCAACTTAGTTTATTTTGGCACTTTTTCGCAGGAACCAAAAAAAAAATGAATAGCAAAATCAAGTTAAGTTTTTAATGTTCTGAAACTTAAAATGTATTTAAATTTTATATATCTTGGTCCAGCCATGCTCCAAATAGTTCCCAGGTGCACAGGTTTGTCTGTACTTAGAGTGAAATTTGTAGTGTAAATACGGCCATATTTGCTAAAAGTTTATGATGAACCTTAAGCAAATATACCTAAATGTACGACCCTCAACTTTGAAAAAAACCCATACCGTATAGTCAGCTATAAAAGGCCCCGACATGAAAAATGTCAAACAATTCAAACAAGAAAACCGACGGCAAATTTATAACAATGCAATGTACGAAAAACAAATACGACAGACATGAATCAACAACAACCACTGCATAATAGGCTCCTGACAAGTACATAAAGAATGTGGCGGGGTTACACATGATTGTGAGAACTCAACCCTCCTTCTAACCTGTTACAGTGGTTTAACAACACAACATAAAAACACTGGAAAATTAGTTGTGAAAAGCTTAACTCAATAGATCGGTACGAAGCACAAAAACAACTAACATCAAACAATAACACAAAGCACCAAAATAAAAGTACTCGCAGTTACTGAAAGCTTGTTCAAAGCTAATAACAACGTCATAAATAACTTGTTCTCCCGGACTTAAGTATCAACATTATCAGTACACGTCCAACGAATTTAGTTTAAAGTCGTCAAAAACAGTCTATAAGAAACGTTTTCACATCTTTCTGATTTTGGTCTCTTGGTGGATAGTTGTCTCTTTGGCAATTCATATCTCCTCAAATTTTATATTGCTGATCTGCATCTGAATGTCGAAAAATAATAAATGTAGCATAACAGTTACAAATATCCAATCGATTAAAAAATTGGGAAATAGAAGTATAAATGTATAGCATGCACGTGAAAATTGCCAAAAAAAAAAAGAAGATTTTTCACTTTGAAATTTCTCCGTACGAATATTTGTTGAGGAAGGTCTTTTGTTGCATGACGCCATCATGACGTTACTCGTATTTTATCCGTTTTCCGTTTTGTCACTGAACTCATCAAGACTTAAAATCAATCCAGTGAGTCCATATAAAGTTTATGTCACTAAACAGAATTATTCATAGCATTAACATGCGTTTTAAACAACTTTCATAGGACAGGTATTGGAGAGGTTACAATTAAATTGAAATGAAAAAATGCATTTTTATGTCTATTTGTTATGCATTGTATACATTCATAAATCTATTTTACGATTTTAAATGATTCACTCTAAGTATAATTGTAATGAATATCATTTTTTTCAATATTAAAATGCAGTTCAACGAGTTCTCTACCAATACAAAATTCACATAAATCCTAAATAACAACCGATCACATACAGTTGTCTTCTTCTGGGGGTTTTGTTTGGAAAAAGTTTGATTTTTACCGGTAATACCATGGCATTTTCAATCGAGCAATTGATAAAATGACTGGCGTTTATTGTATAATCTTGATAGTTTATCTAAAAAATTGTGCAGTTTCCTTTGCTGACAATTTCTACCATTCATTGTTTGTACAGCTTCGTTTGTTTTGAGAAGATTCAAAGAATATTCACTGTGTATCATCGCCACCGGAAATTTGGAACAACGAAGATCAGAGAAAGGAGAAAAAAATAAACAAGGTAAGAAATCCTTTAATTCAAACCATTTCTACCATGTTGATGAGGTTACCGCTTATGAAACGATTTTCTGATAGATAGTGCTTTAATATTTTATGCCAACAAGTAACAAACAAAGACACAATTGTGTGTTATACTTCAAAACTGTGCACTTGGTATCAGAAAATTTCGAGGTCAATTGCCCTCTGACGTACCGCTGGCCAGATTTTCAACTGTTTTTCATTCTTTTTCCAGACAAATTTTTAGATGATGATAGTGTGTCATCATATTTACTGAAATTCGCTATCAAAAAGATGTTTTCTAAAGAATATCGGTTAAAACCAATCAAGCCTAGGGTACGGCTACTTGCTCATGTTTACAGATTTACAGTGCTATACGGCAACTTGTTTTCCAACTGTATCGAAACTTGCTAGTTTAAAAACAATATGCCGTCCTTTTCAAGAAATAGCGCTATAAGTTCAAATACCTAATTATGCATTATATTTCTTATATATCCGAGTTTACATCAGATATGAGATGCAATGAAAGGTAGTCAATTTTAATACATTGAAAAAAAGAAAATCAGTTTATCTTTTCTCCCAGTCATAAAATTATGATATTAAAAAAAATAAATTAATTAAGCGTTTGCAATTTAAATACGAAACATACGACAGCGGATAAATGTTTTTGACTTTCTTTTACATTTTTGTTGTGTCTTTGACAGGCTACTAGTATAATTAAATGATAGTTGTCCTTAGTAAAGCAAATTCAAATGATATTTTACCCTCACATTTTATGTAAACTAGAAATCGGTTATCGTTTTTCTATTTTAACTCTGTTAACCTTGTGAGAAAATATTTTTATACACACTTAAGAATGACTCGTTTTACACTTTGATTATCCCATGTATCATCGTATTGTTTATTTGGAAAAATGTCTTCCCCATATACTCTTTAAACAGACATTCAGTTTGTCAAACAAGGACAAGGTCACAAAATATAGATTTAGATTTAAACACAGTTTTAAACTAAATTACTAATTAAATATCTTTTTTCTTTAAAAAAAAAACCGGTTTGTTCTTATGTTGTGCTATTCACTGTCCTAGGTGAGGGGAGATTTGAGCGCTCACAAGCATGTTAAACCGCACCATATTCTATATGTCCTTAGTCAGGAGCCTGTAATATAATAGTCGTTGTAGGTTGCCCTTACAACAAATAAGACAACAGTTGTCAGTAATTTAAAGGCATATGAATAAATTAATAATGATTAGATTAAAGTAACCATTTTTTTTTCTTTCAAAACACAACATCCAATAAGGGTACGCATTGATGAGATTTGAAATAATAAATTAAAATTAACTGCATATATTTTACGATATCTTTTGCTATGTAGTTTATTTTGCATATTTGTAATCTTGTTACGCGTCGATATTTTCACCATATCACTCTTGTTATTATCTTCATAGTTATTCATATTTTGGAATTCGCCGTACAACGCCCTTCAATTCGCCGTACAGAAAAAAAATTACTGTTTCGTCCATATTCTTTAAAAAATATCGTTTTGAGAGCGAATTTCGGTAAATATGAAGTCATACTATCATAATAAAAATTTGTCTGGAAAAAAGAATGAAAAACAGTTGAATATCTGGCCAGCGGGACGTCGGAAGGCAATTGATCTCGAAATTTTCTGGAACCAAGTGAACAGTTTTCAAAATCGTGTCTTTGTTTGCTTCTTGTTGGAATAACAAATTAAAGCACTATCTTTCAGAAAATCGTTTCATAAGCGGAAACCTCATCAACATGGTAGAAATGGTTTAAATTGAAGGATTTCTTACCTTGAATATTTTTTTCCTTCTTTCTCTCCACTTCGTAGGTACCCAATTTCTGGTGGCGATGATACACAGTGATATTGATTAAACCAGAACGTGCATGAATGTGTACAGTTACTTAAATGAGCTTCAAACTGGATACTGGACGAGTCCATATAATAGCCTATTTTGGAGAGAGAAAAAAAGAAGGTTTACAAATCAGACGTTTTATTCCATTAAGCAAGTCATTTTTCGAAAAGAAATGCGGAAATACATTTTACGCACGGCTACGCCAGGTAAAATTATTGTTTATCTTAAAAAAAATAATTTTTCAGTCTCATTATAATATTATAATTACAATTATTCACAGACAAAAGTAGTCAGTAAATAGAGTCAAAATATGTCCGATCTGCCTATTTTTGGACATCAAACTTCAATACGATCGTTTTAAGGTCAATTTCGTCTACCTCACAAAATCTTGTTAGGCACTTTAGTTGAGTTTTGCATCTATGATGTTTCCTGAAAGCATGTTGCCTATTGTTGAGAATGTTGTTCTTTTCGAAATACTGCATCAAATTGCAGCAAGTAATATGTTCCAAAGTTTGCATAAAATACATGTGAG